ATATATATATGAATTTCATGTATTTCCAGTACCTGCTTCAGCTCAAATAGCGGGACTGTCCACCTTACACGTGGTGATGATTGCCGTGGTGCCATCTGTGGTACTAGTGGGAATATTAGCGGGAATTCTGGGATACCGGCGCGGCAGAAAGGAACAAAGCGACGACCTTGAATTAGAAGACTTTGAGAACTTCGACTTTCATCCCGATATTCTAGGTATATGATATCATGACATACTTGCAGTTTTGCCATTCTATTATTCGGTACCAATGCGCAAAAACTAATGAGTAACTAGACATTTGCTTGACTATGAAGGACCCATTCACAAAAACTGTTGTCTGTTTTCTAGATAGCTTCTTGTTCAAAGTCATAACTATTCAGTTTGGCCAAGGAGATGTCATGATTAATGTCATCAAAAGCCGCACTGAACTGCAAGCACGCAGTATAAATCCATTTTAATAAGAAGTTGCATTGCTTAAAGCTTCTATGGCTTCACCTATTCTGTATTTCATTGATACAAATGCATATGTTTTGTATTCAATAAGACAGAAAAACTGGGTATATTTATGATGAATACTGTTGTATTACGCCGTGAGCCCTATTGAAGACACTCGTGATGTTGTTTCACAAATTGTTCCCAGAATTATCTAGAGATTTGTACGGGCCATCACCCCCACCTGCTCCGCCTGTGCCGGCTCGGCCACAGTTCCTGGAGTACGAGGTTAACCCGACTGATCTACAACTGAATGAAGAGATCGGCAGAGGTGCCTTCGGTATCGTCTTCCTTGCGACTTTAAAGAGAGCTGTTGATGGTCTTCTCACGGAACAAACAGTGGTGGCCAAAACCGTTCATGGTAGGTCAATGTCGGCTAGATAGCACTGCATCTTCACCAACGCTGGGAGTTTCGTTGATATGTATGTAGCAATGTCTATGTTGGCTGAAAGCATGGCACATAGTGATAAAGTAAAGAAAGCATGTCTGTACCATTTAATGGCGTTTAACATTAATTTTCGTCTTTGGCATGACCCAGCCCAAAAGCAAAACAATTACTCTAACGTCTGGGCAATTATTTGTACCGATTAAGGCACTTAAAGAGTAACTGAGTGCATTATCAATGAACCTAGTAGGTATTTGTTGAATTTGCAGAGGATGCAGGAGAAGGGCAAGTCAAAAAATTCATACGACTCAGCTTCAGTAACTGTGTTAACAAAAGTTTTTGTTGAATTCCCAGAGAATGCCAGAGAAGAGGAGATACAGAATTTTATACAAGAGGTCGACACCACCATCACCCTGAGGCAGCACATCAACCTGCTCGGTTTGGTGGGCTGTTGCACGCTGTCCCACCCTCCCTACCTGGTGACGGAGTACATGCCGTATGGGGACCTCAAGAAGTTCTTACTCAAGTGCAGGAAGGTACATGTACAAATGTATATACTTACTTACTTAGTTCGAGCTCCCGCTCGAACCAATCCTGAGAGTTGTCTCCAAAGCACTTTGTCCTCCATGGCCTTCTTTATCTCCCTGGTGTCCTGTAAGTTGGTGTCTTTGCGCAGATTATCCAGGAATGTTACTCTGGGTCTCCCTCTGCTCCGTTTTCCTTTTAACGGTTCCCACAGAACGAGACTTGATGCCAGGATGTCCGGGTGTCTAATGCAGTGACCGGCGATTTTCATCCTGCGTTCTCGTATTTTGTCTGTGACAGCAGGTAGATCCTGGTACAACTGTTGGTTTGTAAGTTTGAGTTGCCATGGGATGTTTAGGCACATTCGTAACATTCGGGTATAACAGCCGTTCAGCCTTTTTTCGAGTGATTTGGTCAGGGACCACGTTTCGGATCCATATAAGAGAATGGACTCAACTGTGGCAATAAACAGCCTTTGTTTGATTTTACGTGGTAGATTAGACTTCCAAATCTTGCTTAGCTTATGACAGCTTTTCCACGCTAATGCTTATATACCATCCTTTTATAGTCGCGTAACTTTAAGGTAGATATCTTTTGTTCTTATTCTGCCAGTAATGGTTAAACTATCAGAATGCTGCTGTCTCTATTTGTTTATGTTTGATACTGTTGACTCTCTGGCATGTCAGCCATTATAATACCTTATGATAAAGTCAAATCATGCTCATGCTGACTCTTTTCATGTAAATCTATAGTTGGGTGAGAGGCTCCAAGACAGCATGTATGACTTCGACGACATGAAGATCTACCAGGTAGCACGGCAGATAGCAAATGGAATGGTAAGCAGTAGTCCACACATATTATCACTGAGAACACACGCATGTATACTGTATTTATAAGACAAGTAAGATTGTTTGTTATATAGCGATAGATGCTAATTACCTTGTACAATTGTTGTACAATGGAGTTTATATGTTTACTGAGCAAGACCAGAGTGACTGGTCGAAAGCTCCAGGTGAGAGAATTTCTTTCCGTTGGATCAAAAGTTTTAACTTTAAACATGTAACTACCAACACAGATGAATGTCTAAGTTTATTTGTTTATGTTTGTTGACCACGTTCATATATGTACATTTATTTCATACAATGTCATGTAGTTTGCACTTTTTGAATTGTTCCTCTCTCGAAACAGACCTACATTTCCCAGGCTGGTTACGTGCACGGCGACCTGGCTGCCCGGAACGTGCTGGTAGGAGAGGACCTGGTGGTGAAGATCGCAGACTTCGGCCTGACAACAAACATCTACGAGCGAGGCTACCAGCGGCAGGACGCGGAGCAGAAGATCCCCCTGAGGTGGATGGCGCCGGAAAGGCTAATGCGAGAGGGCCGGTACACCAGCAAGAGTGACGTGTGAGTATAGCTACTGCTTTGGTTTTGTCCTTCCCATGTACAGGTTTTAGGTTACTAATTGTAATATACTACTAGTATATAATCTGGCAACAAAACTATCCAAAAATTGTCACAGTGGAAATTCTGATACATGATAACCATAAAGCCATTAAAGTGAATGCATTGAGTCGTTTTGGGATAACCTTCCTTGCATGCTATCAATTGCAGAAGAAGAAGTATTGCTTTGTGACTTTAGATTCGATCTTAGAGATTCTTGATATGTTGAAAGCATTTTGGAATCAGCAGTAAGTGTTTGAAGCAGGTACATATAACTAGCTCTATTGCTGTATGTTATCTCGGCTTTAGCAGAATAAATAGTGGACATGCATATGATAAAGGTAGATTCCTATTATTAAAGTAATAGCTCCTTATCTAGGTATAAAGAGTTGCTACCCATAGTACACGTTGCTTTGCATAATTCAATACCCAATCTAATTTTCACACCCAGTTGGTCCTTCGGTGTGGTGCTGTACGAGATCGCTACGTTAGGGAACGTGCCCTATCCGGGTCGGGAACGCACGCTCCTGGAGGAACTCCGCACAGGGTACCGCGAACCACGCCCGCCTGGCCTCAAACAAGAACTGTACGTGAAGGACAATATTGTTTTTTTTATTTCATTCACATTTGTTTCTTGAGAATAATTCATAAACCATGGTGGTTTATAACGGCCCTCTTCACATGTAAGAGAAGATCAATAACAGTGGTCATAATGAGTTTACAAATTTAAAACTAGAGTTCCCCGATCTCATACCTTCGCCAAATGATGTTAATCTTTATGACTGACAAATTATAGATTAGATTATTTCCCCCTGATTTAAGAAATAGGAACCTGATTTTCATGAATTATATCATTTTATCATAATCTCAACCAAAAGACAGTCTTATATTAACAAACAATGCATTCTAGCATTTCCTAATAAATTATGCAAATGAGGTCCTGATTTGAATAAATTATGTTTAATGATGTTCACCTCAATTTAACTGTCAAATACCACAAGTATGAAATTCCAGGCAGTTATCATTACATAATTATAAAATTTTCTCATTAATTATGCAAATTAAGTCATTATTAACATAATCAATATCTTCCTGTGTTTCTCTCGTTGTCAATTACCAATGTCACAAGCTTCAATTGTCCTATCATAGAATGCAGATGATTTATAGAATTTCCCCATGAATTATGCAAATTACATCCATATTTGAATAATTGTCACATAATTATATTAAGCATCACGTAAGCTACCTACATACCAAAAATCACGACGATCCGTCAACTGGTTCTTGAGTTATCCCCTTTTGAATATTTTCAAGAATATATCCCTGCAGTTCCAGAGCAAGCCGCTAGGGGGACCAAACTCACGTCACTTCTTCCCCAGCACAAGAGCTACCTACCATCCAAATTTCATCACCATAGCATGTCTAGATCATGAGATATCAAAACCGGAAGTTCAGCTGCAGTACCATAACAAGCCGCTAGGGGGGTCCAAAATCTAATCATTTTGAGGTCTTATCAAGACCTACCCACCTACCAAGTATCAAGACAATGCATCAAGGCCTTCTCAAGTTATCGTGTTGACAGACAGACAGACACACACACACATACACGAACGCCCCTGAAAACATAACCTTCTTGGCGAAGGTAATAAACCAAAAACCATTTCAAAGACAAATGTTGAAACGTGTACAAATACTACAAGTTAGATAAAGTTTAGTAGTGTACTAAGAGACGATAGACATGTAAAATGGTGATGACAACAACCCTGTGTCTTTGGTCTACTCCATTTACAAAATTTGTCAATCACCGATGACTTACACATATATATAATAACCAATAGGTACGACATGATGCTGCGGTGCTGGCAATGGGAGGAAGATGATCGCCCGGAGTTTGAGGAGCTTTACGATGAGCTGGACGCTGAGGTAGAAGTGATGGCCGAGGATTACTTCAAACCCGGTTCCGGCTCCCCAGTGGGGGGTCAGAATCAGGCAGCAGAAGCTTTTGAAACCTCGTACGACGTCCCAAAGTCGGGCCGGATGGGGATGCAACTCCGCGTCACTGCAGACGTCTACAACAGCGAAGATCGTGATGAAGTCGACTCGCTCTCGTCCTCCAATGCAGAAGCCAGTTCCGCGCCAATAGAGAAGGATGTGGACACTGATAATGATACCCATACAGCAGTTAACAAGTGCAAGGCCACGCAGCAAGACACCCTCTCGGAAAGTGAAGACCACGACAAACTACAAGTGGAATCCTCCATCCCACCGGGTGCAGCAAGTATGGATACCAACGACAGTTCCACCGACTCCGAGCTGCCAGAGCCAGCGAATGTGCAGAAAAGTGAAACCCCGGCTACAATTGAGGACATCTCCGGTGATGCTGAAGAAGAAATGCCTCCAACAACAGAAGAAACTGTGCATTGATTCTCGCTGTAATTACAGGCAAATCATGATATGGTACGTCTTTTTTGCATAATTCATGATCAAATCTAATTCTCACGCCCAGTTGGTCCTTCGGTGTGGTGCTGTACGAGATCGCTACGCTCGGGAACGTGCCCTATCCGGGTCGGGAACGCACGCTCCTGGAGGAACTCCGCACAGGGTACCGCGAACCACGCCCCCCTGGCCTCAAAAGTTAGAAAAATTTTAGTAGTGTAACGTTACTGAGTAATGATGGATAGTTGCCCTTTTTCATGCAAAATGGTGGTGAAAGCAACGATGACTTACACATATAAAAAACCAATAGGTACGACATGATGCTGCGGTGTTGGCAATGGGAGGAAGACGACCGCCCAGAGTTTGAGGAGCTTTACGATGAGCTGGACGCTGTGGTAGAAACCATGGCCGAGGGTTATGTAAAACCCGGTTCCGGCTCCCCAGTGGGGGGTCAGAATGAGGCAGCAGAAGGTCTTGAAACCTGGTACAAAGTCCCAAAGTCACGTGCGCAGGCGCAGGGATCAGAGCCCGGATGTGATGATCCCGTCCGTGCGCATGAGCGACAGGAGGACATCTACGGCGAGCTTTGAGACATTTTTACAGTTAGGAATGAATAGAGGAAAAAACAGACATATTTTGATCACACATCTACAAACATGTACTTCCGACAAGAAAAATGGTCATCAAAAGTCATCAAAACTTTACCCACCGGGAATTTTTGACCGAATCTCTGGGCCTTCATCAGCTTTCTGACCCAATGCCTTGCTGTAGACACGTGATTTACTCGCACGTGTGACGTCAGCACTGGGTCAAAGTTCGTCGGAAGTCGGTACCGCCCCCGTCCCGGTTGAGAGAAAGTTGGTCAATCAAACTGTATGAGAACAGTTTATTTCTCATATGATTTACCGACTCAGATGGACTTTCGAATGCCAAGAAGAACGCTTACAAGCAGATTATTTTATTCTATACTTCAGCCAAGAAGATTATGAATCAAAAATGAGAACGTACTTATAACACCTGTACGTGTTTTCGGCACTGCCAAGACATTTCCTGTTGAAAGCAGGGACTCAATTATAACACAAAAATGGAATGGCATTCTAACAGTACAGTAGTAGGACGATTATAGGTCGGTACTTTCTGAAAGATATGAACAGTTAGGTAACGGTATAGGTACACAGAATGGCATGTTACATACAATGTTACATAAAGTGTAAATATACAAAAATGTTAAGCATATATTTTAGAGGTGTAAATTGTGCATAAAATGCCCAACAAAATATATTTATTTCTACAAATTTGTATCATAGCTTCTATTAGGAATGAATAAATGAACTATCATTGCTAAATTTTTCTTATCATTTTTCGTTGTTATACTATTGTTTATGTTGGTTAGTGTGAAGAAGTATTAAAGGTGAGCCAAAAATGACAAAAGAATAGAAACATTGTACTGTACAATGCCTTCCAATTTGGGTAAATATTCAATTCAATCTTTATTGCGCAACAATTGCAACAGGTACAATGTATGGCAAGTATAGACAAGAATAACAATACTAAAATCTACTTCTAAATGACTAACTCTAGACGCTACGCTGTAATTGTGTACTATGAGTTATACAATATATATGGGACATGGATACAGTATTAACATCCATTCGAAGTGTCAGAGATGATATGGTTTCTTTTCTGGAGAGCGGAAGATATGAATTGGCCTATATATAAGGATATTGGTTCAGGACATGACATAAGTAAATTAAAAGTATCTGAGCTTGTTCTAGGTAAAGTAAGGTTTGAGTTACGTGAGATCATGTTCATAAGTGTCAGCCTTTCTTCAGTGTACGTGGGACAAAATAATAAGAAGTGAAATTCGTCTTCAACATTGTGTTTACATGTAGGACAGCGTCTCTGAGTGGCTGGTACATTCTTATGACGACCTTTTTCTATTTCTAAACAATGTGCACTGATTCGCAGTTTGGTTATGTTAGCAACAAAAGATTTGTTTTGGATTGATGAGAGGTACTTCTCAAAAGTGAAGTCGGTTTTGAATTTAATATAGGTTTGTAGTTTACTGTAATTTCTTATGTTTTGCCTCCAGCCAGAAACAAACGTGTCTTGCAGTCGTTGTTTGAACACCTTTCCAAAATGCTTGGCGTCAACTGTTGGGTTTAGCCAAATATTTTGGAAACCGTGTCTACATAGCATATCTTGTATATGTATTACCCAGTCCTGTTCTTGTTCTACAGCGATATCATAGGCTTTTTTAACAATTCTATCATTAGGCAGGTGGTGCAGTCTGAGCCAGTATTTGATGAGCTGAGTTTGGGTGTCAATATATAACGGAAACGCTCCTAGTTCTCCCCTTACGGCGGCGGTGACGGAGCTTCTAGGGACACGGAGAATTATTTTGTAGAAATTCAAGAGAACTTGTTCTAGGTCAGGGTTTTCGTATGGCAGTGTAGGTTGCTCTATATATACATTTTGGTTTCTTAATGTTTCCGAGTTATGTACAATATTTAGTTTGTCACTGTATTTTTTTAAACGGACGAGTATAGGGCGGCTAGAATGAGGTTCAGATTTCTTTCCGATACGATTTGTTTTGAGAATATTTACTTGTGGTCCTAGTATTGGGGATAAAATGTTAGATAATATATTTCGTATATTTTCGTTTGGAGATTCTTCTATTCCTTTCATGATCAGGTCCCTACATTGTATATTTGGGCCTAAAACTTCTCCACAGTAGAGTAGGATTGGTTTTACTATAGTATCAAACAGGTCTAATGCAAGAGAGATGGATGGGTTGTGATTTGTTGATAGAAATGACTTAAGTTTGAAGGAGGCTCGGAGGGCTTTAGTTCTGAGTTGTTTATTGGCTCGTTTAAACGTTCCTGATGGGGTTATGTCTACTCCTAGATATGTGTAGGAGGATGTAATATCTATTACATGGCCCTGTGACTGGAAAGGAGAGCGCCGATTTTTATTTGTTTGTCCATTTTTTTAGAAGATCATTATTTTGGTTTTATCTCTATTGATCGTCAGTTGCCATGTTGAGCAAAAGTTATCTAATCTTTTTAAACATTCTTTAAGGCCATTTTCTGATTTAGATAAGAGCACGAGATCATCTGCCCAGAAAAGGCTGTTGATGGGAGTGTCCTTTAAAATAACAGGGTCGCAAAGTGGTGAATTTAGTAAGCATGGAAGGTCGTTAACGTATAAATTAAAAAGGAGCGGGCTTAAATTGCACCCTTGTCGAACGCCGCATGTGGACTTGAAGTATGTTGACAGACCGTTTGATGTTTTAACGCAGTATTCTATGTTTGAGTACATTGTTTGTATGATTTTATAGAAATTCCCCCCTATACCCGATGATAACAACTTGTAAAATAACCCATTTCGCCATACAGAATCGAAGGCTTTCTTGAAGTCAACAAAACATGCATACAATTTCCCCCCCGGATTGGATATTTGTTGATCAATTAGAGTTTTGAGCACAAAGACATTGTCACTTGTACGGAAATTTGTGCGAAAGCCAGACTGAAATGGAGATAATATGTTGTTCTCTTCAAGAAACCGTTGAAGTCGTTTATTAAGCACGAATGTAAACAATTTACCGACGCAGCTAGAGATGGCAATCCCTCTATAATTGGACGGATTTGTTGGGTTACCACTTTTAAATATCGGAACTAAGATGCTAGACAATCCACAAAGCCGACTGCTCTTCATGAAAATCTCGCTAGAGGTCTCTCGTAACTGGTCACACCAACAAGTCCATAAGATCCCATGAGGATACCACTTTTGCAAACTGTGCGACACAGCACAAAACGGACATTCAAAGTCTAACTTAAATTGTATGCTCTGAATTGTGGTCAATATAGCTGCCTTAATGTGTAAACCAATCAGAAAAATCCATTTGCTTCCTCCATGTGACGTCACCTTGAGATATTTAAAACGCCCATCCCAACTGGAAAAACCACCTTGCAGTGACGCAGTGTGGCTGACCTTCAATGAGGGTTTAACAAGACAGACGACAGCAAGCCTTGTGTCTTTTTCTCAGGACAGTTTCCTTGACACTTTTTACACCTAAGACATTCATCGGACACAAGACGTCGTCTAGGAATCCAGGTGTGGAGGATTTATATACCTGTGCGCCAGGTAAGGTTCTTAAGCCAGAAGAAGAGTTACCTGTTTTGTGGGCGTTGTTGTCTTTGGTTCTTAAAATGGCGACCGTAAATTGGTGTTTACAATCCGGCAGTCTATTTGGATCGGATCGTCTTTATTTCTGTACCCTTTATCCTTATGGCTAGTCTTACAGAGTTCACGCAAAATAAATACATGCATGGTAAAAGAACACACATAAGGGTACAACATTTTATATTATGAAATTCATATTATTTACAAACGAAATGAGCATGATATACAACCAAATCACAGATAAAACATGAATCAGTGGCCTTAACTTACTATTCTTAGTTCTAAACTTCGCATCTGGTGTGACGATATAACTGTTAACCCGTTAACGTTAACTATTATAAACGCTATACTAGTATTTTCCCAAGTATTGTATGAAAGAAACAGACAATGAACGCACTGTTATGGCACTTCCTCGTTGGGTTGCGCGGGTTTAACTTAGTTGCCAAAGGGGCCTGATAAGAGTCTGTTTTCTTCCATTAGATTGAAGTAAACAAACATCATGGCGGCCAAGGTGATGTTCTATTTCACCACTACCGTCATGCTTTGCGCCCGCCTGCTCCCTATCGAAGCTTTACAGGTTCAGATCCCGGAGGTAAGATTGTTTTTTTCTCACAAATACTGCATTATTTCTGGCCAAAGTATCAAATAATTATGCACATGTGCCCCATAGATGCATTATGTCAATATTACAGATTGTCTTATAATATATATAATCTCTACCAGATCTCTTTGCAGGCTGAATAAATAGTAGAAATCGGCCTAAAAGGGGGATTTATTGCCTAAATTGCCCAGATCGCTAGAGGAGTTGGCCGACCAGAGAGGGTCCTCTCTAGCTCTCTTTCTATCATTTATTCAGCCTGCAAATGAGTCTGGTGGAGATTATTATTTAGAGTATGTCAAGTATGAAGATATACAGATACTGCATTGGGATAACAGTATATATCTGATCGTGATAGTCAGACGTATTAAAATAACTTTGCTGTTTGCAATATTTTCAAGGACACAGCGATCGGCTCTGAAGTGGTCCGACTTAACCGTGGGAACGTGACGTTAACAAATCAGTCTGGGAACGACACTTCTACAGCTAATGGCGGCGAGGATTTGGACCAGACGATCTACGAGATTGTATCCGGAAATAAGGCAAGAATTATCATGATAATGTACGATAGCCGGAAAGTTAGATTTAACTATAAAGGAGACATTTGCAAAGCAAAAACATAATGTTTACCTCTCTGTAGTGTTCTTACTCGAACACATTCATATATATATATATGGTGACCAGCCCCTGCAACTTGCTACATAATGTAATCCAACACCACATGGTGTCTGCTACAGCACAAATTACCATGGTGACAGCCGCTGTTTGTTTTACATTTGCTACCGAAAAAAGATGACGTATTTTCACCCAGAAGGCGGCTAACAAATGTACGTGTTTGTCATGCAGTACCAGCGGTTTTCGCTAGGGGCGTCGTCCGGCTTGGTTACCGTTGCTAAGGCGTTGGACCGAACCATTGACGCCCAGTATGACCTCAACATCAGGATCACCACCGAACTTAATGAGGTATTATGAGCATATCTTTTATCAAACGGTTTAGAAGTGGCCCATCCGGCCAAGCTTTATAAAGCAGCCAATACAGAAAGTCTTTTGCAAATACATGCCCGAGGACTAATTGCAGTTACAAACAACAATAAGAAAGAAATACAGTGGTATGTGAGACTATATCTGCGTCTAGCATTATACTATATTCTACAACATACATGGTACTAGTTTTACTGGGTTTAAAAATGTCCTGGCATTATTTATGTTTCAGGGGCATTTGCCTTTGGCACTTAAGCATGCAGGGTTGTAATTGTGATCTTCCTTACTGTTTCGGTAGCTTTGCATATAAACCACTATTGGCAGATTTGCATATCACGGAGTCTGATAATGTAGAGAATGGTGAGTCTGTGTGTTGGATGTATCAAACCGCCGGGCACATCTTCCGAACATTTTGCCGTATCCAGAACCGTGCCTGTCTAGTTCTATGCCTATTTTCTATCGTTACTATCCAGAACCGTGCCTATCTAGTTCTGTGGGTTAGGGATAGGATCAGGCTCTGGATAGTCTCTATTGTATCCAGAACCGTGCCTATCTGGTTCTATGCCTAAATGGGTTTAAGGTTAGGATCAGGCACGGTACTGAATAGTCTCAGCATATCCAAGAACGTAGATTTGCCCCAGGCACGGTTCTGGGTACGTGTGGGCTATCCAGAACCGTGCCTGAGCATGGTTCTGGATAAATACAGTCCTAGACTCAACACCTTTGTTTGACGATTTCCCCCTGCCCTGGGTTGTGACAATACGCCAGGTAACCTTTTGTCGTCAACAGAATCGTGTCTATCTAGTGCTATGTCTAAATGGGTTAGGACCAGGCACGGTTCTGGATAGTCTCCGCGTATCCAAGAACGTAGATTTGCCCCAGGCACGGTTCTGGATACGTGTGAGTTATCCAGAACTGGGGATAAAGCAGTGGTCGGCTCTGGATACAACATCTTTGTTTGACGATTTCCCCCTGCCCAGGTAGTGACGTTGCGCCACGTCCAGGTGCAGATTGACGTGACCGACGTTCCCGGGTATCCACCTGGCTACAACGAGTCGTGCGCGACGTCACACGTCACGGGCAACAAGGTGCGACCGGGATTTGTTTGTTTGTTTGTTTGTTTGTTTGTTTGTTTGTTTATTTTTCCCTGCATTTTCCCTCTGGTCTCTCAGTCACTGACGAAAGCTAGTGGATAGTAGCTGAAACGTCTGACGTTTTCAAAATCATATCCAGTTGCTTGCGTAACTGCTTTTTGGTGTTTGTTTGTTTGTTTGTTTGTTTGTTTGTTTGTTTGTTTGTTTTATTTACGTAGGGTGGCCCAATTGTCACTGTCATACCACTGCTTTACAGTGCGGCCCTGAAAATTTTACCAATTTTGCCGCTTGCTTCTCTTGCATTGTTAACATTCCACTGTAAGAATCGTCAAACATGTGCCTTAGCTAGATTCCATGTGCGAGAAGACACGATACGCTGGAAGGGTTAAAGGCCCGGGCACACTATACAGCCATAATCACCCGCAAACCGGCCGATAGCACTTTTAACACATTTTTAAACTCTTCTATAGGCTTTGATGCTGAACGTGTCGATGAAGGTCTTCGCTCCTGGTATTCAGATAGACACCGAATTCTTTTCACCCGATCAAAACGCCCTGGTCGCAGTGGACACAGACAACGATCACTGTGAGTATGACATTAAGAAGGCTGCTACAATTCCTCCAGCTAGATCTAACAGACTGTTACCATGTCTACAGCTAGATCTTGAACTGTCACCATGCAAAGTCGAATGAATGACTGGTTTATTATGTAAAACATCGCAGCCATCTGGCTGAAGTACGTTTCACTTACATACATGAAATAACACGCAACTCCAACGAAAAGCGTAAAATATTACAAAGTATTAAAATGAAATAATACAATAACTAAACTTCTGAGTGTGGTTTTGGCCTTTAATTTACAACGCACTATTAAGTCTAAAGCAATCTGATTTTGGGACGATTCTGAATCAAGATACACCAGCGACTTTAAAAAAATAATTTTTTAAATCTTACATCCTGACATTGTAAGGTGGCATGTCCTGGACTGATGTGTACAACACCCCGTTCCCCCTCCAACACCTGAACCATGAGATGACACGGGTCTACTGTGAGCATGCGCCGAACTACCCATCTGGCAGCCGTGGCGGGGTGACGTCACCGATCGACATTAATGTCTTGCAGGTAACTAAAGAATCTTAAACCGAAGAAAGGCGTAGTTATTATATATAAGGCTTAAGTCTTTTTACTGCTGTGTCTGTTTATGTGTGATGTTATCTTTCATGTTTCCTTTCTTCTTTGACCACGTTTTTCTAGAATTATGTAGGTTAAGTTAGGCGAATAAAGGAAAACTAAATAGACAATCATTTGAATAGATTATTTCTTCACTCACTCACTCATTCATTCACTCATTCATTCATCCATTCACTCATTCATTCCCTCCCGTTTCCACCAGCCTCCCTTCAGCCCAGATGACACGATCCAACAGAAGCTCCTGTCCGAGACCTGGTCTCTCATGTCTTCCCTCATTCATTGACTCATTCATTCATTCATTCATTCATTCATTCATTCACTCACTCACTCACTCATCCATTGATTCATTCGTTCGTGGGTTCAGCAGAACAGTCCGTACGTTGTCCTGGACATGACCGTGGGCCATTTATTCCTTCACTCTTTCACTCATCCATTCATTCATTCTTGTATTTCCAGCCTCCCTTCAACCCAGATGACCCAATACAACACAAGCTCCTGCCCGAGACCTGGTCCCTCATGTTTTCTCCGACCTGGGTACAGAAGAACACTCCGTACGTGGTGCTGGACATGACTGTGGGCCATCTGAGGGCGGATGTGTGGACAAGCTGGGTCTGCCGGGCCACCGGGGATCCACTCAACATGGAGGTGTACCTGGCACTGGCACCGGCAGGTTAGTAACTCTAAATGTACTGATCATAAAGATTGAATCAATATATTACTGTTGTATCAAAGAGAGTGCTTTATCCAGATCCATGCTCAGGCATCGTTCTGGACAGCCCACGCGTATTCAAAAAGGGGGCCCAGGGCAAAGTTACGTCCTTGGGTACACGGAGGAGATGCAGTCAGTACACAGGGAACTTTGAGAACTGTCATTACTGTTTTGGAAATCTATCCATTGCTTGAACAATTGCTTTCTTGTGTATCTCATTAGCCTTCATCGACGTAACGGGAAATATAACCAACAAAAAGTGACCACAATGGCCAGGTGGTCCTTATGTAGAAGTAATCACTAATAAATGTTGTACGTTTGTGACCGTAGGTTGCCCAAAAAAGGGAAATACAGCGGCCGTTGCGACCAGGACTGTTTGTGCGAGAACGGTGTTTTTTCTTCTTTTTTATATTATACAGAAGTGTAACAGTATTATACTACATGTTGTATGTTTTTGACCGTAGGTTGCCCAAGTGGTAAGTACGGCGGCCGGTGCGACCGGGACTGTCTGTGTGAGAACGCCGCCGCCTGTCACCCCTTCAACGGAGCCTGCAAATGTCGGCTCGGCTGGAAGGGCGTCGCCTGTGACATCGGTAAGAAGTGTCATGTGCAAAGAAATAAAAATCCAGCCTCTTCAAGATCCTACATCTAAGTTTACTTGTACTTGATAAGGTCAGCTTTGTGAGTGGCCTGCGTCAAACTGTACTTCTACTCTACTCTGCTCTGCTCTGCTCTGCTCTGCTCTGCTCTGCTCTGCTCTAAAGTCACTTTGTTTGCACAGCGTCCTGCGCCATACTTGGTGGTCAAGATCCTACATCGGTCAATTTCTCTATACGATGAATTCCAACAGCGAGACCAAATCATGGATATCCTTACATAACTATGTCGCAAGTCTCATACTGTCATAGATTTTGTAGTTGTGGTACTCACTGGGAAATATTAGGCTAAGCCTTGTTTTTTTCGTATCAGGCACATCGCAGTTGAATTCTCATGTGATAAAGTTTCATACTTGCAAATGCTAAAATGTCACCAGATTAAGTGTAAGTTTATGTATCCTTCTTCAATCTGCATCTTTTACAGACGACCCGACTGTCGCCATCACTCCCAGATTGCCCTATCAACATCCGGGTCAAAGGTTCAGCCTCACCTGTCATGCGCACAACGTGGACGTGCAGGCGATGTCATGGACCAAGGAGGGCGCCAAAATGCCGCTACGTACTGTGATGTACAGGGCACGGCCACACCCCAGGTAAAGGAACTGACATAAGAGTGGGGTCGTGTGGCGTGGCGGCAGAGGGCTTGACTCGGAACCAAGAGGTCCCAGGTTCGAGTCCTGACATGCCACCGATCTTGTGCCCTTGGGAAAGGCACTTTACACGACTTTCCTCACTTCACTCAGGTGAAAATGAGTATTGTATTGTCCCTGGGTTAGTGGCGGCATTAATATATTAGTTGGAAAAGCGTCTTGTGACTACGTGTTGAAAAAAAATGAGAGTGGGCCTTATGCTCACAACGGTACTTTATCCAGAACCATGGTGAGACACGGTTTTGAGTGCCAGAATGCCGCTACGTACTGTGGCGTACAGGACAAGGCCACACCCAGGTAAAGGAGTGTAAAGGAACTGAAAAAACTGGTCTTGAGGGTGCCAGGATGTATTGTGACGTACAGGACACGGCCACACCCCAAGGTAAAGGGGGCACACCCCAGTTTATTTGGGGCCTCTATTCGAAGCTGCACACCCTCAAATCTAGCGACCATCTCTGGCGTGGAATAATTCGGAAGGAGAATAACTGTATATGGGACGAAAGGATATCTCTTCAGCTACGAGACAAGCTGAGTTTGGTTTCTTCAACCTTTCTAAGTTTGGTAAAATCAACGGAAAAAACATTATTTTCACTCGAAAATTAATGCCCAAAATTGCGAATTTTCGCGTAGGATAATCCCACAAAAAAAAATTTTCCGGCAGAAATGACTGATGCTGGCAGAAAGACCCAAGCCTTGACTATACCCGAGTAAATTATAAAGAAAATTCTAGTACTGTAATTTTCTAAACAGTCCACGGCGCGAGGGGTTGCAAATCCACCCCTACGAAGCCGCAGAGCGAAAACTAGGTCAAACGGGCGGATTACACTTGGCGCGCAAGGATACCCGGAAGTAAGGTTCGGAGCCAAAAGAAATTTTCACCCCAAAATCACCATTTCTTACACTCTTCAGCCATGTTAATGTTTAATGATACTTCGTGGCAGTTTATAAGAAATGTCACCTCAAACTTGGACCCTCAAAACCCTTTCGTCACTTTTTTACAACGGACTATCGTGGACCCCGGTCGCGGAAGAACTGGGGTGTGCACCGTAAAGGGACTGAAACTAGAGAAGTAACATTTGCAAAGCAAATGCACAATGTTTACCTTCGGACATGGTCTGCTCTGTTACTTATTACTCAAACACATCCACATACATGTACTACTAGTACTAGTATATGGTGACAGGAGCAGAGCAGACCATGAAATTGCAACATTATGTAACCCAACACCAGTCACCATGGTGACAGACGTCAACACATCATGTCCCTGTTTGGAGGAGAAGAAGAGGAAGAGGAAGAAACTATATGTTTTCCTTCGGTAAACATAATAAGAGGGCCTTATATCCACAAACGTACTTTATCCAGAACCATGCTCAGGCACGATTTTCTTACTCTACCCAGGCTTAGGGAGGTAGTAATACTCAGTATGGAGAGAGGGGATGGAGAAATAAATAGCTAACTTTTGTACTTTTCTCTGCACTTCTTGCTCCACAGCCTGATCTTGAAAATCAGCCTATTGGAGCCCCAACACGAAGGGATCTACGCATGCTCAGTGGTAGACGCTGATGGTGTGGAGAGAAACGCTACATACACTCTGCGTCTACAGAAGAAAAGGGGTGAGTTTACAATCCTTGCATGTAGCCTTTAGCTATGTGTTCTTCAGTGTTTAGTCTCACATCATTCAGCCTTCAGCTCTCTGTAATCACAAGACGTGGTGACGGCACACTTACGTTTTTTCAACTTATCTTAATGTCGCCGCCAACACAGGGGACAATCCAATACTCGTTTTTACCTGAGCAAAGTGAGGAAAGTCGTGCTAAGTGCCTTTCCCTTAAGGGCACAAGATAGGTGGCATGTCAGGACTCGAACCCGGGACCTCTTGGTTCCGAGTCGAGCACTCACGACCCCACCAGCTACATATTTCACTTCATGGCCTAAACCTACATAACAATCCTAAGGTTCATCTACTGACACGGACTATAAACAATTTATTACTGTAGGATACCTGACTGGCCGGAAAGGGTTCCCGCCCTGGGCCCTGGCAGGCGTCCTATGCGCCTGCGCCGCCGCCATCATCTCCGCAGCCGTGGCCGCCGCCATCTTGTTACGTCAGAGAAGAGACGGCAGAGAGGACGAGAAGGACAGCCTCGTACAGACATGGCTGCAGGTGGGGCTTGGAATTTACCTTTTTCATACTTTACCTCCTTGTTTTTACAAAGAAGAAACCTTCGCAGTGGGGGTCAATATAGACCAAACGGAGGACTAGGACTTCGATCAATAGTTTCAGCCGTTTGGTTAGGCCATGTTGATTTGATTATATGGATGACATCCGCGCGCGCATGAATTTTCGGCCGTTTCCACAAAAAAAAAGTTTTCAACCATACTGTAAATCGTACAAAACAGTTGCAAAATGAGTAAAAATATACCATAAGTTACAAAAAAAATTAATAAAAACTATACCAATGTCGTAGAATGCCAAAATCAAACGAAAAAAGACGAAATTGTAAAGAAATGAACTTGAAGACTAGATTATTTGCCAAACCATATTCTGTGCCATTTGCTCAACCCTCATGACCACGTAGATTTCATAATGAAATCAAACTTTTTTTTTTTGCAAAACTTTTTTTTTATTCGCACGCGCGCATCAGTTTTGGGGCTCCCGGAGGATGTCATCCATATAATCAAATCAACATGGCCTTATAGAAGAACGTTATTGACACAACAACAGTACAGCGACTTTGAATGTCTTTAACCAAGAAGCTCCTTGTGATGAAAGCTCCTTGAATTTACCAATAGCATTAAATGTTCTTTAGGAGCACGCGCACGCCCGCCAGTGCTGGGAGCGGAAGTGTTCTGACCTGGTGATCCAGGGTCACGTGGGGCAGGGCGCCTTCTGCCAGGTTACTATGGCAACGCTCACGTGCGGGGAAAACTGCTACAAAGTGGCTGCAAAATCCGTCCGAGCTGGTCAGTAGGCAGAATTCGGAGATGATCTTTTTTGTAAATCTATGTTTAGAATTTATGGTGTACGTACACCTCTGATTCTGAAAATTCATCAAATTATACATCCCACCCATTTCTTCTTTTTTTACCGTCGTATAAGGAAAACATATTGTTTTTGCTCTGTTTCTCCGAGCAAATAAGGTCAATGACCTGAACCAGGCGTCTGACAAATGGTAACTAGTGTTGGATTACATCATGTTGCAGTTTTAAAGTCGGAGGGATTTAAACTCCTGTCACCATATTTGAATGTGTTTGAGTAAGAATTAACAGTAGAGCAGACCATATGCAAAGGTAAAGATTATGCATTTGCTTTGCAAATGTTACCTCTCTAGTTTATTACCTTATTTCTTAATTTGTTTGTTTGTTTGTTTGTTTGTTTGTTTGTTTGTTTGTTTAGACCAGCGCAGGAGCCATGTTGCCCACCGTGACCTGCTGCAGGAAGTGTCCTTGCTGTCCGAGTTTCACAACCCGAGCGGCAAGACCGGGAAAATCGACCCTGAGCAGATGTGGGTTCACCCGAACATTGCACGCTTCTACGGCTTCGTGGTCGAAAAAGGTGAAAACGTAACGTTTTAAGAATTTAACAAACGTCTATCCGTTGAAAACATAACCCTCATTTTTGCCTCAGGCAATGTTGCATCAAGAATCGAGCTTTATTCAGGTGCCAGCACCAAAACTGGATACGCTGACACTATCCAGAACCATGCCTGATCCTAACCCTATCCCAATTGCAATCAGCCAAAGAACTAAATAGGCAGGTTACCGGATAAGATACTATTAGATTATCTTTTTTGTGATCTTAAGGAATTTCACATGGTATGGATCATTGTATGTCTTTCACCGACATCCGATGATCCATCGGACATCGTCTGACACCGGACGGTTCCACGGTTGCAGATGCAGAACCAGTGTATGATGTTTGTTTGTATGATGTTTGTTTGTTTGTTTGTTTGTTTGTTTGTTTGTAATTGAACTGAGTACCTGTTTCACCCCAGACAACCTGCACCTCCTGGTAGAGTACGCTCCTCACGGTGACCTTCACAACTTCCTGACGTCGTGCCGCCATGTTTGTATCGACTCCGGCACACTGGCGCTGGACCAAGACCGGGAGTTTGTCAGGATTGCGCTCGACGTGGCGAGGGCACTGGTGGAGCTGCACAGGCAGAAGGTGTGGGTGTGTGAGTGTGTGTGTGTGCGTGTGTGCGTGTATGTGTGTGTGTGTGAGTGTGTGTGTGTGTGTGTGTGTGTGTGTGTGTGTGTGTGTGTGTGTGTGTGTGTGTGCGTGTGTGTGCTTGTGTGTGTGTGTGTGTGTGTGTGTGTGTGTGTGTGTGTGCGTGCGTGCGTGC